TATCTATAAACTATTGTCTACCTGAACTGCTACAGACAGAAGGGTATAGTTTCTAGTTGTAGTAAAAATTATACTTACTTGTTTGAATACTACTATAAACCTGTGAAGGATCCCTGTAGCTATATTATTGTTATAGTATTGCTGTTAAGAAAGCTATAGTACTATAACAATACTTATATACTTGCTATCAATAGAGCTTAATATCATAATCACCAACTAAGAAATAATAAAAAGCAGGTCTGGTATCTTGGGTCAAACTTCTCTACTATAACTGTTGTTAATGAAGTTCTTAAACATAATATACTAAGGTGCAGATATTGTGAATTTTTTGCACAGAGGTCAAGCTCTTTCATCTTGTGTGAGTAGACTCTTTTGTGTATTCAGTATTCAAACCAGAGAAGTCTCTGAGAATAGCAAGAAGAAAAGAAGTAGACTTTTCTATATCTTCGATATCTAAACCAAAAGGATATTTTGGGAGCAATGTTACTATTGGGTCCCTGTACAAGAATATTAAATAAAAACAGAGGAAATAGACTATACTACTGTAACTCTTACAAGAAGAACTTTATATATTTTCATTGGCCCACTACTTTTTTTCAAAAAAAATTTTGTAAAAAATGAACATTTTGGCTTATTCTTTTCAAAAGATCAATAACACATACACCAAAACAGTTGGTATTGTTTATTTTCTAATCAGTATAACAGGACAACAAACATGTTAAAGCACATGTCTCGAATATAATAATCTGATAGCTCTGAAACATAGGTTCAAGTACTGACCCTCTATATTATAGTTGAAGAAATATTTTTCTACTAGTTTTAAGCTTTCATATACTATTTAGATAAATTTAGAATAGGGACTATTTTATTTAATAGTATGTAATTTTTACAAGTTTTTTACAGGCTTATAATAGTAATCATTAGAATAGACAAATTTCTCTTTTGTTTTTTTTAATACTCTCTTATCTCCTTTTTTTTTTTTTCTTGTTTGTATCTTTTATTATATCCCCTTTACCTCTGTTTTATTTTTCTTTTGTGTTTGTGCTTTCATTAATTTGGCTCTTTTAACAAAGCATATAGCTGTTAGAGCTAAGGATCAGAGAGTTTATATATATTCTTAGTAAGTTGAGAATCCAATATGAAACCAATTGCTACTATATGAATCGTTATTTGAGTTTAACTTGAGTTGATCTTTACTCACATAGAATATAGTATAAAAAATTGTATCTTCCTGTTGATATAAGTTCTGGTACTTCCAAATAAAGAGTAATAGGCAGGACCGTTAAATTAAAAAAAAAAAATATATATATATATATATATAAATGAAAATAACTAATGAACACCTCAGGTGATAATTACCTGTGATTTACAATATATAATTTTGTGTAATGTAAACAAATAAACAATTTAATAAATAAAAAAAGTTTTTTTTTTTAAATCTTTAGGGTAAGAGTTAGAGCTCATATTAGGGTTAGAGTTTAATAAGGTTTATAGTAAAATTTTACAAGAAATTTTTTTTACTTAGAGCCTTAAAAGTGATTTTATAAGCAAAATTTTAAGATAATTTTGCCACAGGTGATCATCATCTGAGATGCAAATTAGCAATTTCCTATATAAATATATATATAATTTAGAAATTTTTAATTTAATTTTATATATACAGTATAATCTAAATTGGCCAAATCAGGTTGTTAGAATAGATAATACAAACTAAATTAAAAAAAAATTTAAAATTTTTATTTTTTTAAAGCTAAAATTTGATTGGTTAAAAAAATTTTATAATAAAAATCTAAGTTTTTAATTGGTTCAAATTATATATATTTCAATTTTTATTTTTTAATATTAAAATAATCTAACTTAAAAGCTATTAATTCTTTATAAACATCATATTTTTAAAATCTAATTGGTAATTTTGTAAAGCTTGTCTTGAAAAACAAAATTACTAATTAATTTTTTAAAATTTTAATTTTTTAAAGAGTTAATAGATTTTAAAGATTATCTATTATATTGGTGAGTTAAAACTTCCTGCACCATATAAAAAATAAAATAAATATAATATAGTTGGAGTTTATTTATATTACAGCCTTTAACTTTATATATACATATATATATAAGTTGTGTTCTAAGAAAAGAAACCAAATCAATTTTTTTAAAAAAAATTTTTTTAAATTTAACTGATCAAAAATTAGCTAAGAAATATTTTTTACTTAAAAAATAAATTCTGTTATTTTAATAAATTTTTTTGCAGTATAACTCTTTAAAATATGTATTTTCTTATAAGACCATGCAAAGTTAATTAATTGGTTCTCGTAACCCGGCCGGGTCAAATTTTGAAAATTTTTACAAAAAATTTTTATATGTTTTAATAACCGGATAAGTTTTTAAAAAAATTTTTGAGAAAATTTTATAAATTTTTATATATAAAATTTAAAAAAAAAAGCCGACCGGCCGGGTCTATTTAAGAAGTTCCATGTTACGAGAAACAATAAATTAAGTTTGTGTGGCTTAATTTATTATAGAATTTATAATATAAAAATCAATCTTCCGCAAAACCTTTTTTTTTGTCAATTTGATCCCTTTTCTCAGAACACAGTCCATATATATACTTACAATAATCATGTTTATTTTTTACAATTAATTTTTATAAATTGTAATTTTTTTTTTTTGAGGGTTAGAATTCGCCCGAATTTCGCCAGCGGGCATAGTAATATCATCGTTAATAATATGACCTATATATGTGTACATATGTATATATTGTAAAGGAGGCACTGATAACTTTGTAGAACCTATAATAATAGAGCTATCGAATATTTTACCTCTACAATAAGTTGAAAGATGTAGAACCTATAATAATAGAACTATCGAATATTTTACCTCTACAACAAGTTGAAAGATGTAGACCTATAATAATAGAGCTACGAATATTTTACCTCTACAATAAGTTGAAAGATTAAATAATCGTTAAGGTTTCTTGTATCATAAATACAAAATAATAAATCACTACACTAAGTCTTGACTAACTGAAGAATAGTGCTTATTACGTTAATTAATAATATCACAAATTAATTAGTCATCTCATTTAAAACTTGTTTTAAACATCGTATTGCATTTCTCAAACCTAGCAAACAACCTTCATCTTTGCCAATGCCATCTTCAAAGTGTGAATGTGCAAAGTCTATTATCTTAAGATCAGTTACTTTGAACCCTTCATCTTCATCTTCGTCAATATCTGAGTCATAATCTGCGTCTTCGTCTTCAACGTAATCTTCGTCTGATGTTAATTTGTCCAGCTTTTGTTCATCTTGAGCGTCTTCCTCTTCTTTATTAAGAGCTTCTGTAAAAGCATCAGGATCCCCTTCATATATGAATAATAAAGATGCGCCACGTAATCTAACGTCATGATTTTCCAAGTCTTCTGAAAATAAAGTTAGATCTTCGATAAACCGATCAATTACAAGCCGGCGTTGACTCAGTGATATCTCTGCCATAAAAAAATCCGCAAAACATGTCATTATAGTATCAGGAGTAAGTCTCCTACAAAATTCTCTAGAGTAATAGGTATAATTATCTGATGATTTTCCATAAACCTATAATTGAAGAGGTTAATCATATTGTAATTATGTAGCTTGACAAAATAGTCTTTTGTTTTCTTTTACCCGGGATGCTGTTATACGAATTCCCATAGAAGATGATGTTGTACTTTCTGCCTTTTGTATCGATTTCTGACGTTTTCTTTCATCAGCATCCTTACCCCAGAGTTGTGTACCCAATTTCACATCCATTACACATGGTTTTTTAAATTTGGTTAAGACATTTTCTATACAAATAGCTTGTATTGTTTGAATATATAGGTCAAGGATATAATTTATAAACTTAGAGCACTTAAAAATTTAAATTAAAAGGATATCTTCAGTGCTTGTGATGTTTACGCTATCATTATTGCTAATTTCACCTTGCTGATCTAGCAAAGATGGTTGAGAGTCATGTAACCGCAAAGTTCCGTAGTATTTCGGCATCCATCTAGCAAATCCTGGATATAGTACACTGTTTTCATAGAATTCTCTTTCAAGTTCGTTACAAGGCTTTATGATCATAGAATCCTCGTTCATGGATAATATTTCACCATGTCCACCAAGTTGTTCACTAAATTTTTTTAAGGGAGCCGGGTAATTCAAGTTTAGGCTTTGAGGCGCTAAAAAGCCCTTTTCTTGACGCAGAGGTGCAGCCATTATCGTTAACTTTATTTAACACCAATCAAATTATATATTTTATAGGTACTCACACTTGTAGGTTATAATTAAGATTACTATTTAAGTTATATAAATTAATGATTAGAATGTCTGGCAGGGCCTGTAACAAACAAGATACAATGTGCGCCAAAGAAATCATCTAAATATAAAACAGGCTTTCTGAGGCATAATAATCTATATTTAGATGTAGTCGATTTTGATTAGTCGATTTTATCGGCTTAGCCGCTTAGTCGATTTTATGGTAAAGCCCAACGTACGTACCCAGTAAAAAAAGTGCGGACACATGACAATAGACCAATAACTGATCACGATTTGGTGAACAAAAAAAATTTCGAGCAAATTTATTATATAACTTTTGTTAAAAAGTTTATTGGAGTTGATTTTTGAGTTAACTTAGCAAGAACTTTTAGACTCAACTCAAACCTGCTCTTGAGTAAAAGTTTTTACCCCTTGCATATAATTATGCAAGAGGTGCATAAAATATGCAAAGAGTGCATAAAATATGTAAAGAATGTATAAAATATGCAAAAAGTATATAAAATATGCAAGTGGTATATAAAATATGCAAGAGGTGTATAAAATATACAAGAAATATATAAAAATATATAAAAGATAAAAATATAAAAATATGCAAAAAATATATTAGAGCAGTATTATTTATCACCTGATTATTTTTTATCAGAGGTTTACCCCCTCTTAATATAAAAAAAATCAGGTTCTTATATATAATTTTAATTTTTTTTATCACCTTTCCCCTTAAAAAATCACCTGATTTTGTCATGTCCCTTATATAATATTTATATAAGCTATATTTAAAACTTAACTTGGAGTAAGTTAACTTAATTTTTGAGTTGAGTTGAGTAGAGTTAAACTTTTAATATCCCTACCTTTTAGTACTTAATTCTAATATAAACGAATTTTAAAGATTTTTTAATTTGCATTTTTTTCGACCTGTATTTTTTTACTAGATATGTTAAAATATAGAGTATTTAGAATTATGATTCGATATAATATATATAATTTGTGATTTTTACTATATAAAATTATCACTTTTATATAGTATATAATACAAAATTAATTGGTTAAATAAATAAACAGATAACTATAATTATCTGACTTGTTATTCTTTTTGAAATTTTATTAACTAATTACTTAAAATTTATATAATTCATATATAATTTGGCATTGACTAGATCATAATCTTGAACACTCTACTGAGATAGTTCTAAAACCAGGTATAATCATATGATATATAGCTTGGTCAAACACACCAGAAGATTAAATTAATTATTTTGTATAACTCTATATATATCTATTTAATTTTAGAAAAATTAAATTTTTTAAATTTTAAACTAATATTTTAGTAACTACTTAAAAAAAATTTAATAAACTTTTTTTTTTATTATTTTAGTAAAATTAAATAAAAAATAATTTATTGAATTTGCTTAGATAATTGCTAAAATATTTTTATTTAAAATTGAAAAAATTAAAATAGAAGTATAAATAAAACTTTGATGATATCTTTATAATTATTTAAAAAAATTCAATAGTTTATTTTTTATTTTAATTCTACAAACTTATAAAATTAAAATAAAAAAATCATCTAATTTGTTTTTTTTTTTTATTTAGATTATATTAGTGATAAATATTTATTATAGCTATTAGTAAAATTATTATCTAAAGACAAATAGAATATAACAATAAATCTTGTGTTCTAATATTTTGCAATTCAATTTAACCAAAATTAACTAAGCATTTATAGGCAATTAGCTGCACTAGCAAGGTATGATTAATTAAGATAATATTTCTGAAAGTTTATTTGATCAGTCTTATAATAAAATATTGCTAATCTAATAATATCTTTTTATAAAAAGTGAAAAAAAAAAATCATCAAAACACAAATTTTTGAAACCAAAAATTAATTAAAAAATTTAAAAAACACACAAAAGTCACTAAGAAACTACTCTCAGGTTCCTAAGTAAAGAGGAAGAGAACAACAAAAAATACTTAATCTCTTAAGAGACTTGAGTAAGAAAAACAGAAGTAGCAAAGAAATAGAAGAAGTCATGAAAAATTGTCGATATTTTTTTGTACTTTGCAAACTTTGGGAGAATCGGCCTTGATTCTGAATTGCAGATCTGTTTTGGTAATACAAAAATCACAACATGTAATAGAAAATAAACAAAAAAAATTTAACAAAAACCATGTTATGAAAACAAACCAAAATAGTAAACAACTACAGCAAACAACAACAATAAACAATAGTAGTCAGAAAACAACAAGTTATATGAAGCAAAAAAAACAACAGAAAGTTCTAGAAAAAATCTATCATAGCCAAACTAACAAAGATAAAATTAAAAGATATATATGAAGATATAGAGATATATAGACAAAGTTATATTAATTCTGACATACTAGAAGGCATAAAAGAAGTAATAGCAGATCTCCAGGACTATAAAGAAGTAATATCTGATAAAATAACAAATACAACAATAGAAGAAGAAATGGCAGAATATGCTGGCCAAGAGCTCATTTCAAAAGAAATAGCCAATGAGTAAATAATAAAGCTCTATGAAGAGTTATAGTACTATAATATAGAAAAATCAAAGTATACAGAACTTGCATTTATAGAAAGAGAACAAAAGATGTTTCTGGAAGCAATTCAACAAGGAATAGATCTAGTCAATTGTATTATAAAAGAAGAAATTGTTGGTTACTTAGTAGAATTAAGAATAGCTAATGAAATCAGAAGATTATTAGTAGAAAGAGAGAAACAACATGCTGCATTAAAGGTGAAATTAGAATCAGGTTAGAGCAAGAGACTTCAAGAACAAAAGAAAAGCTGACAAAGATAGCTCAACAAAACAGCACTAAATTCTACAATATATCATTTCAAGAAATCAGTCAAAACTACAGCAATAAACTAACAAAAAATAAGAAAAGAAATAAAGAAAAAGGAAAAGATGCAAGTTCAACAAAAAAAAAAGATAAACTGCCAAAATAAAATCAAAGTTGGATATAGGTTGGAGCAAGAGATTTCAAAAACAAAGAAAAATCTGACAAAGGCAGAATAATAATTCAGATTTAAAAACTTTATTAATATATTTCAAAGTATCTGTTGAATTCGCTCTAGCATGCCAAAAAAGAAAAAAAAACAAAATTAAGAAAGAAAAACAAGATAAAGGCAAAGGACAAAACATTCCTGGTCTTATAGAGACTAAAATATTAGACAAGATTCAAGAGAAATCAAGACCCAAAATCATTTTAACAAACTCA